TATTTCCATTTTGTATAGGCTTAAAGGAAACATCATTTAAGATATTGTCTTCTCAAGGTAAATGCTTATAGCTAGGAAATTTGCTTTTGATATTGTCTTGTTATCTATGCATTTTGCTCAAAAGCGATTGGTTTCAGTTCAGCGATGTACCTTTTGCTACTTTTTCTGAGTTTCCTTTTCTTTTCTTTACAATTATACGGTTCATTATACGAATTTGTGTAGTCGATATTTTTGTATTAGAATGTATTCAAAATACCCCAATATTCTGCAAAAATACAATCACCTTTATTATTTATTATAACCTCAGCGAAGTTTTTATGTAATGCTGGAATCAGATTGTCCGTCCGTTCGACTAGCCAGCAGTTGTTCTTTTTTTTGACTATCACATAAATCTAATACAGGTAATGTGCAGTTCCCAAGATCCATAACTCCTCAATTTTTTAGATAGATTGTTGATTGTACTTTTTATTTAGTTTTTGCCCAAAGCATAACTTAAAAGCATCGGGTTTAACATCATAAACTTAATAGTTAAACATATCTTGTTGAGAAAGAGTGCTGTGTTGAAGAAACATAACTCTCTATTGCATAATGTTGGTGCGGGACATAACATGAAAAGTTGCATAAATTGCACAGATGAAAAGAACGAAGTACTTAAGACATACTACGTTGATGTGCATATGTTTTAGAGTAAATAGTACTTTTTCATATTTACAAAAATGTAATTTCGTCCGAGGCTTGTCTGGTGCTAAATTTACAAAGGGTTGAAGTAAAGACCTTAAAACTAATAGATATATTAATCTCAATTAGGAAATATAGTGTATAAAACCATACACTCTTATACTCCTACATGTTCTTTTTATGATAGACCTGCTTGATTTTGTTCACAACCATTGTTTAAAGGTGCAATGCACTTTATTTCATAAATTTCAGTTATTGCCAATTTTAATACATTGCAATTCATATCTTTCTTTTTGCCGGGGTACAGCACAGTTGAAAGTGTCTACAAGAAACGCCTTGGGAAAATATATCGTATTGAGGTTTATGCAGTATTCAAACAATCATAACTCTCTATTGTGTTTATTTCTCTTAACCGCCATTTGGAAATAGTTTATACATTTTTTGTCTAGAATATAACTTATGCCTGCCTATATGATGTTTTAACATAAAATTTCATTATATCCTTTTGGCAAAACGCTAAACAGTGACGTGTCTAGTTTGTATTTTTTTTCAAGATTTGATGATTTTATTATAAAATGTTTGTTCGGTAACGTTTTGCAAAAGTTGATAATGTGATTGTAAATGGTCATTCTTATATTTGTACCTCACTTGCATGTATTTAATAACTATTGAAAATACTGTAAATAGATTTGAATATTTTATTTCAAGTATTTGAAAATACTTGTATTATAATGTTACTACAATATGTAGGTATTTTTAGTGAATGAAAAAAAAAAAAACTTTGCAAATGTTGGAATTGTTGCTATATTTGAATATACTGTAGATACTGAGTTTATCAATTAATAATATGTTTACAGCATATTATAATTATTCTTGAATTAATGTGATCTATTTGCATGATATCATAGTCTATAAGAATAAAATTTTGAAAAAAAAAAGAATTTCTTGTTTATATTTGCATCTGTGTCATTTTAAGGTTACCTTGGAGTATATTAGTCCGCTTCTTTATGTCATCGAGTCCTTCTTGAGAAATTATTATGTGGTACCAGTAAAAGTTAGTCTAGGACGTCGATTAGACAAACAATTGAACTTATATTTGAGCTCTCAAGATATATGGGTGCTCGTGATATGCAGATTCAAAACAGTAAAGGTTGATTATTCAGATACAATGTATGAACCAGAATAACAAAGAAAACTCATAATAAAAGTTGTTTAGAAAGTCGAACCAAAACAAAAAAAGCCGACCGTAATATACAAATACCTTGAAAGAAAGTATATAACAGAAACCAGGATATATGAATGAAACAACTACAAAAAAGTTGAACAGCAAAAAGTACATGGATTAAATCAGAACCAAACCAACAAGCTCGCAGCACAATGATGTAATTCAAATGATATAAAGGCCAAAACAAACTGGCTTAATAAAAAAAGTACTTAGAGATAGGTTTATTAAGAAAACCCTGGCCGCTTAATAAAACAACTTAGATATAATAATCAAAACAAACAAGCTGGTGGCATATAATAAGTTCCTCGATGTGATAAGATGCAATTTCCGAATTCCGAAAATTTATTTTTTGACAATTCTTCAAGTTCGAACTTGAGTATTTATTAGAGGAGAGATATGTCCGAATGAACGCATTAACTTTAATCCCTTACAGTAACTTTGTCATCATACGTTGCTGTACTGATCAGGAGAGTTAACTATTGTAAACAGTTAACATTCTCGATAGATGCCCTAAATGACACAATAACAGTTAAATTATAATCTCGACCTGAGGCGTAGCATATGTTCAACTGTTTGAATTTGATTTGTTAAATAATTCTTTGTTTCATATCGTAATTGTCTGCATGTTCAATTTGACTCATGTTTACTTTTTGACTATAAGACTCAAACATCACTCTAGGTTACAAACAGCTAAATTCTCTGACTGTCATAGTCACATTTGAGATGACATATCGTATTGTAATGAACTTTCAAAAATAAAGACGAATTGACCGTCATTTTATTCTTTATAAAATAAACCACGTTACAAAAGTTCTACTAATGACAATTTAATAATATCTAAGTCACGTGCTACATTTGCGAAACTCACATTATTATAAAAAGAGGGGTAAAAAGTATTAGCGTAACAAGTGTTGTGGAGGTTTCGTTTGCTGGGTTATGTGGGGGTCGCGTTTATTTAACGCCGCCTTTCCTTGTTGATCTTGTTTACCATATTGTAGTATTTTCCCATAAAATGTACATTAATTTGTTTTGATAAATATTTGAGTAAATATGCGTCTTAATCATTTATATAACATCAAACCATATTGTTACACTTATGGACAAAATGTGTCTGTTAGCCTATGTGATTAGGAACGACGCCATATGAAGGCAATATCGCCTTTTAAAAAATCGGGCTGTATAAAGTACATTGATAAGTTCATTAAAAGTCGGCGTCAATATAAAAGTAAGTAGACATATTGTTGCGTCCCGTGCGGATGACTCTTTAATAACTGCTGTAGACTGTTATAGGTTTTATTACTTAAGGCCGCTTCTCTATGCAATCTGTTCATGTACTTTTGTATAATAAGTCAGCTTTATAAAAGCCTTGTGTTATTTTGCTTATGCAATTATAATAATTCACACCACAGAAATAGACATATGCTGTATCATATATGCATTATTTAAATATGCCTACTTTGAATAATGCTTGATAATCAGACACTTACAGACAGGATGCGATCACAAACAAATGCTTATTAATACAGCACTTAAAATTAATAAGCCTATGCAAGACTCATTTGCTGGTACCAATTAAGCAACTTTCAGCTTTTATGCGACTCAGAAAAACGGACTGACGGACATCAGACGACACATTTTGGACTCCGCAGTAAATTAAATAAATTCATGGAAATATAAGTAAAATAAACAAATAACGTAAGAATGCTCAAGCTTAACTATTTAAATTTATTTAAGTAAGCCCTTAACAATCAACCTTGCGCATTTGTAAAATCCGACAACAATAATATGAAATATCCCGAATTTCAATATACGATCGTGCTTACAAAATTAACGTTAATATATGACTCAGATCGGGGCTGGCGCTTGTGTTATAAACAATAAATAAACAGTTTTAGATATATTAATACTTACGCTAATTACTATTGCAAAACTTTTCCGTTATAGAATATTGACTTAAGTTTTATATCTGACAAAAGTTCTAATGTAAAAATAAAATAATTATTAAATTCTTGTTAAAGCTTCTTTAAGTAAATTTTGTACAGAAAAAATAAAATAAAGTTACTTTTCAATGTAAAATAATATTCTACTCTAATGAATACTGAGGTTCTCAGTTGCGGAGTCCTCGCTGCTAACAAAAATCTGCCTTTTATAAATACGTATTGCTAACAGTTTGCTAACGGTTTACTAACAATATTTGAAACTTGTGAGTTTCTAACAAAATGCTAACAAAGAGGCACCGAAAGGGTTGCTGACAGTGCTAACACTGCTAACAGATAATAAAGTACGAGTTAAAATCACACAAAGCGCCATCAATTAAATCGACAAATCTAATATAAATATAACAAGAATACACAATAACGAGGGATCGGTAAATGTGATGCAAAATAAACAAACAAATTATTTTCGTATGCATAATTTAACGCTCCCATAGGTAACCTCACTTGATAAATCGAAATAAAACATGACGTAGTAATTACATGACGTCATAAAATCGTGCATAACCAACATGGCTGACAATAAACACTTCCGGGTTTTAGTAAACAGTAAAATTGCCGATATTAGCGTAAGGGTAAGCTTTCAACAACAATTTACATTGACAATCAGTAGTATTTAACACTTTTACAACATATAAACCGTATATAACAAAAAATAAATATGCATAGGTTAACTAGAAGGTAAATAAGGTTGGTGAAATGCGGTGCATCACATTACCCCCCTCTTAACGAGGCAAAGTTCCATCTGCCTCACAAAATATAACAATCATGAATTATAAACAGTTAAGAAAAGCAAACTTGTACTTAATTTTCAAATAGTTAATCAAAATTTACTTATTGACAGAATGTTAAAAGTGACCTGAGTGTCCCTATAATTCTTATATAATTAACAGTGTTCCTTTAACTTCTAAATTTTAATTCCATTATAAAAAATAAGTGTCTCATCAGAAACTACCCGAATGTCACTATGGTTGTATTAAACCTTTCATATATAAATCAAATACTATTAAACAAATACAATCTAGTCCAAGACATACGAAATATACTACAGTTTATTCACTTTTGAATGCTTATGTCTATGTCATCGGAATAATTCACTTGGTTTACAATCTAATATAGTCTCTTCCTCTCTCGCCCCGCCTATGGCCATCCCTCGAACATCCACCACTCTTCCTCTGTCGCTCCCGTTCCGCTGGTCTTTCTCGCTTATCATCTTTCTTCACTTCTCCCTCTCGTCTATCATGTTCCGCTGGTCTATCTCGCTTCTCGTCTTTCTTGACTTCTCTATCTCTCTCTTTTCTCTCATGCACTTTTGCTGGTCCTGATTCACCTCTCACTTCTCGTACTTCCGGTCTCTTATTCTCTTTCCCTCTATCTTCATTTTTTCCCTTTCTTTCTCTAAGTTCACTTCTCAACTTCTTTACTTCTTTCTTCAGGTCATCCACTGATTTCTGTAAAGATTTTATTAAACCCGCGTTAGCTATCACTTGTTCTCCCACAATACTTCCGGTTTTTCTGATCATTTCTGACAGTATATTTGTAAATCTTATCTCTCGTTTACTGTTATCTTCTTCGTCAGATGAGGATGTTTCATCGGACGATGATGACGACTCTGACTCTGACTCTCTATACCTTTTCAGACTTTGTCTAACTCGCTTTCTTGCTCTACTATCTCCGTCCGCCTTTCTCTTCGTTTCTCACTCTCCTCCCCGTTCTACCTCTTCTTCTTCCGTAATAATCTCCGCTTCCATTACTCTACTCTGTGTCTGTAATCTTACTTCTTTCTCCACTACATTTCTTCCATCCTCCTTCGCCATTTCTATAACAAGTACCTCAGTCGCTTCATCCACTTCTTCCCTTGCCTGTTACTCCACACCAACTGCACCACCTAAGCTTTCGTGACTATCTGCGCCTTTCTCTTCTTCTGTGTTTTCCCCCTGTGAAATTTCCATCTTGTCATTATCCTGCTTACCTTCTTCTTTTCCTCCTCTTTTGTTGATAGTTAAGTCTAACGCCATTGCCCCTATCTACAACCAGTCACTCCTACTCTCCGTTACACTTGCGCACCTTACGATCCTTCTATTCTCATCTGTCCGTACGACTCTCAATTCTAACGCGCCACTAGTAATATCCAAACCATTTACTTCCTCCAACTCTGTTAACTTCTTCGAACTGGCCTTCACTTCTGCCGCCCTTCTCAAGTCAATTGGTCCATCTATATCAACTCCTTTCTCTACTTCCATCCTTCTTCCACTGCTATTATCTCTTCTGTTCTTTTTTCACCTGTTCCATCCTCCTCAGGTAATGCTGCTCCTTCGCTCTCACCACAGTCTTCCTCTACCACGTTCTCAATATACTTGGATGCCATATATATTTCCGGCAATTCCATTTGTTTGGCCTTATCAAACACATTTGATGACCCTGGGCTTATAGTCTTTTTGTCCCACCACCTACTGCTCTCTTCCTTAGTTAACATTTTCCAATCTTTTTCTCCTACCATATACGGTTTGTCATTGCACACAAGAAAAGGTTCTGAGGCTTCAAAGCCCTTTTCCTTCATTATGGCCTGGTGCCTAGCAAAAGTTCTTACATGGCTAAACAAGGTGTCCTTTGTCTTGCTCCTGAAATGGCAGACTCTACAGAAGAAAGGCTGATCATCATTTGGCGCGTGCTGTTTGTAGATGTGCTCCTCTAACCGACTCTTCGAGTTAATCTCTTCTCTACCTTTCCTTAAACAATGCAAGCATTGGTACGCCCTTCCACGGGGATATGTTATTCGTTCCATATCTGAAAAATAATTGATGATTTTAGGATCACCATGCATCTGTTGCATAACGCCAGCCCCCTTTTGCGATAGAAATATAGGTTTTTATGTTATAAACGAGCGCCATCTCTGTATCACGATTCATAGGTTCTACGGTGCTGTATTACGACGACGTCTTTGACGCAAAACCCCTTTTTTTACAAAATGCCGACACATGACGCACGACCACACGACGTCTACATCGTTTTTTAATACGTACTAATTAGACCTGCAACCCCTAGACCCTGGAATATTCGCTCTTATACATAAATGTTTTTCTTGTAGTATACCTGAGGAACACCTGGTTGTGTAGATTTAACTGACATTGCTGTAAAAGGGAAATAACTTGAAACTGAAATAAAACATATAACAGCACACAATTTTGTAAAACTACTTTAATGAGTAATTAAATTTTCATTTTCTTTTTCAGCGCCTTGATCCATCTGGGTACTTTCTTACCTACATATGGTTTTAGTTTATCATGATGGACCAGCATTCCAGAACCATTTCTTTCGAACTGTAACACATAATTCAATGGCGACTTTTTTTCTATCACCACAAACGGACCATCATATTTCTTTTCTAGCTTTGGTGCGACACCAGGTTTCTTAGTTTCATGAAGATACCACACTAAATCCCCTGGATTGTAGATGTGTAAATGACCTTTCACATCATAGTAAGCTTTGCTGTGTTCAGCAGATACCTTTAAATATTTCCTCGCTAACTCGTGTGCAAACAACATGCGGTTTCTTAAAAGCTCAACGTAATCACCAGGCTTGCTGGCTTGAGTATGTGGTGGTCGTCCGTAGATGATGTCTAAAGGTAACCTGATTTCGCGACCAATACTAAGTAAGTTTGGGGAAAGCTTTGTCGATTCGTGCGCAGTGGCTCGATAGGCCCCAGCCAGGCAACCTAGGTAAAGGTCCCATTCATCTTGCTCTTCAGCAAGATAAGCTTTTATCATCTTGACAATCGTAGCATTAAATCGCTCTGTGACCCCATTGGATCGCGGGTTGCGAGGACTTGCACGAGTTTTCCGAACATCAAGCATTTGGCATAATTCTTTAAATAATTTGCTTTCAAATGCTGCACCTTGATCACTGTGTATGCTTAGAGGTGCTCCCCATCTTGAAATGAAATCGTTGACGATTCTAAGCGCGCATTCATCAGCTTGCTGGTTAGGCACTGCCATGACCTCAACATACTTCGTGAAATGATCCGTCAGGACAAGTATATATTTATTCCCGCGTTTTGAAATTGGGAAAGGACCAAGATAATCTATCCCCAATGTATCCCAAGGCGCACCGCTACGCAAGTGTCCCATAGGAGCTCTTGGTTTTTTAGCCGGAGCCTTGTCGCAGCGCACGTGTCACACTGAGCAACGTAAAGTTGAACATCGTGTTTTAAATGAAACCAATAAAATCTTTGCATTATCTTTTCTTTTGTTTTTTTACACCTAGATGCCCAGATAACTTTGAGTCATTCATTTGTTGCACAATTTCTTTTTTCAAACAGTTCGGAACCAGAAGCTGACGAAACTCGCCTGAACCGTTCTGCCTTTAAAATGTCTTTATCAAGATTCTATCTTCGATGAAAATGCAATCCCATAAAATCCAAAGGTGCCTTGTTGCGGCAGATGCCGTCTCCATATCTAAGCTGCTAGGTTTGTTTCCTTCAGTTTTTGCTTTTTAGATAGGGCCCAGGTCAGGATCATTTGATTGTTTAGCCGCAAGCTCTTCAGGCCTGATAGTAAACAGCCAGGTACCCTGCTGGAGAACACGTGGGTCAAAATCAGATGAACAAGGCTGTTGTCCGTCTTCGGCAACAACAACTCTGGTCTTTACGTCTGCTTCGCTGATGACATTGGAGATCGTACCTTGTGGAGTATCCTTTACATTAACACTTGACATCGTGGATCTCATAATTTCTGCACGTCTTTTGCACTTCTTACAAGGTCCACATTTAAAGGGCTCTAAATTGTCTACTTCCGGGCACTCGCAATCTTTCGGATTCTGACATCTAGAAAGTGCGTCACAATGACCTTGTTTTGATCCTGCTCTGTATTCAATAACGAATTCGAATGGCGCAAGAATTTCCAACCACCTTGCAACTTTTCCATTCGGCTCCTTCAGACTGAATAGCCACACCAGGGCTTGATGATCTGTTCGAACCACAAATTTTCTTCCTAACAAATACTGCAGGAAGTACTGAATAAAATACACAACTGCTAGCAGTTCCTTCTCAGTAATGCAGTAGTTTCTTTCAGCTTTATTCAAAGCCCTACTGGCGTAGGCAATTACTCGCTCTCGACTTTCTTGCATCTGGTGCAGTACCGATCCAATACAGACACCACTTGCATCGACATCTAATATGAACTCTCCGCCATCATTCAAAGGATATCCCATAATTTCCGGCCCCGTCAAAGCTTCTTTCAGCTTGTTAAAAGCTTCCTCACACCTATTGTCCCAGCTAAATGCAACTCCTTTTTAGTAAGGTCTACCATAGGTCTAACTACAGTTGCAAAGCCTTTAACAAACTTTCTATAGTAACTTCCAGTTGCCACAAATTGTTTAACCTGCTTGGGATTTTCTGGTCTTGGCCACTGCAAGATTTTGGCTATATTGTTTGGGTCAGGTCTAACTCCATCCTTGGAAACTATATGACCCAAAAACGTTACTTCGGTCTGAAGAAAAATGCATTTGTTTGGTTTTAATTTCATCCCAGCCTTCTTTATTCTATCTAATACCTCATCTACTCTAGCAATATGTTCTTCGAAACTTGACCCGTATACAATTACGTCATCAATATAAATAAGGCACGTGACCCAATTCAACCCTCGGAGGGTAATCTCCATACAACGCTGGAACGTACTCGCTGACCCTTTAAGCCCAAACGGCATTCTTTTCATTTGAAACTGCCCATATTTGCATACAAAAGAGCTCTTAGGGATGTCCTCTCTTCTAAGTGGTATCTGAAAATAACCACTTGTCAAATCAAATGAACTGACGAGACTTGAACCTGCCACATCATCAAGGCAGTCTTGCACTCTTGGGAGAGGAAACCCACTCGGCTTCACCAATTCATTCACCTTTCTGTAGTCCACACATGGCCTCATTTCTCCAGATTTCTTTCTCACTAAGACAATTGGACTAGCCCAGGGAGAACTACTTTCCTCAATAACATCTTTCTTTAAAAGATCCTCTATTGCCTTCTTCTCCTCATTAGCATGCGCTAAAGGTACACGTCTCGGCCGCTGCCTGATTGGTGCTGCTTCCCCGGTATCAATAGTATGTTCAACTAGGTCAGTTAAACCTAAGTCCCACTCATTCTTCGAAAACGAATCTTTATACTTCAGAAGCATACCGCCTATTATATCCTTTTCATGTTGCGATTTTCCCTTTGTGGACTTTTCAAATAGCTCTTGTAAATGCTGTGGAATTTTGTCCATACTGGCCTTCCATAATTTTTCTAAGTCAATGTTTCTTTCTATGGTATTCAGGCAAATTCTACGGACAGAGTTGAAGTTCTTCCTGTCCAGACTCTCCTCCTCGGCTATTACGCTGATTACTTTATCAATTCTTTCAGCACAAGCAACTTCTCAATCTTGTCTCACCGTAATATTCGTTGAATAAGGATTTAAGATTCGAACTTGGCCAACTGGACCTCTGTTTATATCTAAAAGTGTAGACGCCATCACTAAATCATAGTTTTCTCGAAATTTCTCAGAAGGTTCTACTAGATAATTTGCTTCAGTGTCATAGTCATCTTCTTCAACCCGATCTACATACACACTAAGCAATGCCTTTGATTGGCTAGGTATAATGGTGTCCACAGCTGCAATAACCTTTCTTGTGTAACTTGACCTGCCAATCTGGAAACAGGGTATCTCAACCTCGTCAAGCTTAATTACGTTACGACTTAGCAATATATCAGCTGGTCCATTGTCACTGCCACCGAGTACATCAAACTCGAGCAGAGCCTCATCCTCTATATCTGCTATTATGGCTTCCTTTT